GGAGGAGGAGGAGTAGGAGGAGGAGACGGGAGGAGGAGGAGGAGGAGGAGGAGGAGGAGGAGGAGGAGGAGGAGAAGGAGGAGGAGGAGAAAGCGGAAAGGGGGGAGGAGGAGGAGGAGGAGGAGGAGGAGGGGGAGGATGAGGGGCATAACGAGGAGAACAAGACATCCTTTCCTCCCGTAGCCCATCTCGCCCCCCAAGGAGGAGGAGCAGGAGGAGGAGGAGGAGGAGGACGACGAGCAGGAGGAGGAGGCAGCGACGCGCGCCGAAACGATCTCGACGGCAGCGCGCGCTCTGTCGCCGCACCGCCCTGGGGGAGGGATGGCAGGATGGCCCCTTCCCTCCACAGCTCCGGGGCCGCTCCGCCGTGACGCCGTGGCGCTCCCCCCCCACCCGCCTGCGGAGCAGCGGCGCGCGCGCCGAGGGTGGCCTCGGCGGCAGCGGTCTCTCCTTCGCTCCTCGCCGTAGGGACTCTATACAGCCGAGGGCCGTAGACGTGGGGGGGGGGGCGGCAGGGGGGGTCTTGAAAAAACAGTTGGCGACCCTCGTGTGAAAGAAGAGCCTGAGCTTGCATGGTTGTTTAACAACAAAGAAGATGCCAGACTTGCCAGCTCGGCCTCGCCCTCGCTCCTCGCGCTTTCCTCGGGGCACGCTCTGCTCGCAAGACGTGCCCCTCCGTCGTCGTCGTCGTCGTCGTCGTCGTCGTCGTCGTCGTCGTCGTCGTCGTGGGGCCTCGGGGCGCCCGCCGCCGCCTCCGCGCCCGCGCCCCCGCGCCGCCCCCCGCGGTCGGCTGGCGGGCGCCCCGCCGGCCGAGCTGAGGCCGGCGCGTTGTTTACAAGCAGCGGCGAGGCGTCTTCGCTCGACTGTGGGCCAAGCGGAGCATGTCGAGAGCCTTTTTTTGGTCTGCACGGGATGTTTTCAAGAACATTTCAGGTTGGGATTCTCGGGGGTGGACAGACCTCCTACCCTGACACGTCAATTAAGGAATTGGCCGTTCTCGGTTCGCGAGAGGGCGTCGCGGCCGTCATTTTTGCGGGTCCAGGTCCGTCGGTTTCGGTCCCAGGCCGTTCTCACTAAGGGGAGAGCATGCTACGCATGGAATGAATTCAATGGAAATCAATTGCAGTGGATCCGTGAGTGGATCAATCTAGACTGATGAGGCTATGATTTTGATTTTGAGCCGGCTATGATGCCCGCTCTTGCCCACCCCGTCCCTTCTTCAGGGACTTCGCATCTCCCTGTGATGGTAAGATGGGAAAGCGGGCCGCCGCCCCTGGCACTGCACGTACGGTGCCAGGTTTGTGGGGATTTGGTTCGACCCCTGCAGTTCCAATGGTGGAAACTGCGAGGGGTGTGAGGCCTCATGGTGGTCTTCACTGGTAAGGCCTATGATGGTCCTCGCCGGGTGGGGGAGAGGGCAAGGGCGGACGTCCACCAGCAACGTCCGTCGTGCTCATCCTCCGTGACATGCACTGCGACCACACTCATGAATCAGAAGACCGTGACATTTACGAGCACGACCCGACCTATGATTGCGGACTCCGTGAAACGTGCCGTGACCACGCTCATGACCACGAAAACCATGAAATTCACAAGCACGACTCGACCTATGATTGCGGACTCCGTGGCATGCACTGTGATCGCGCTCATGATCACGAAGACCGTGAAACACACGAGCGCGACCCGACCTATGATTGCGGACTCCGTGAAATGCCCTGTGACCACACTCATGAACAGGAAGACCGTGACATTCACGAGCACGACCCGACCTACGATTGCGGACTCCCTGAAACGCACCGTGAACACACCCATGACCACGGAAACCGTGAAATTCGACCCGATCGAGGCCGAGGTGATGCCCGCACTGCCTGTATCGCGGCTCCGATGGGGTGGAGACCAGGAGGAGGAGGTAGAGGAGGAGGAGGAGGAGGACGACGACGACGAGAAAGTTTAGTTCAATTAACAAATTGAGCGCGAAGGCCTATGATGGTCCTTCTTCTCAAAACGAGCCGTGCTGATGGCCCCGAATTTGGTGCGAGGTGCCTATGATGGCCCTTCTGGTTGCCTATGATGGCGGCACTAGACGACCGGCAGGGGACTGGGTCCCGTTCGCGGTCCATCAGGGGAGAGCATGCTACGCATGGAAAGAATTCAATGGAAATCAATCGCAGTGGATCCGTGAGTGGATCAATCTAGACTGATGAGGCTACGATGCCTCTTTTGATTTTGAACCGGCTATGATGCCTGCTCGTGCGCTTCGCATCCCCTTATGATGGTAAGATGGGGAAACGGGCCGCCGCCCCCGGCACTGCACGTACGGTGCCAGGTTTGTGGGGATTTGGTTCGACCTCTGCAGTTCCAATGATGGAAACTGCGAGGGGTGTGAGGCCTCATGGTGGTCCTCGCTGGTAAGGCCTATGATGGTCCTCGCCCGGGGGGGAGAGGGCAAGGGCGGACGTCCACCAGCAACGTCCGTCGTGCTCATCCTCCGTGACATGCACTGTGGCCACACTCATGAATCAGAAAACCGTGACATTTACGAGCACGACCCGACCTATGATTGCGGACTCCGTGAAACGTGCCGTGACCACGCTTATGACCACGAAAACCATGAAATTCACAAGCATGACTCGACCTATGATTGCGGACTCCGTGACATGCACTGTGATCGCGCTCATGATCACGAAGACCGTGAAACACACGAGCGCGACCCGACCTATGATTGCGGACTCCGTGAAATGCCCTGTGACCACACTCATGAACCAGAAGACCGTGACATTTACGAGCACGACCCGACCTATGATTGCGGACTCCCTGAAACGCACCGTGAACACACCCATGACCACGGAAACCGTGAAATTCACGAGCACGGCCCGATCGAGGCCGAGGTGATGCCCGCACTGCCTGTATCGCCGAGAATCTTTTGTTGTCACACATCGGGCTCACGTTCTACGAGCATGGTTTTTGTGATAAGAGCACTGCTGGGTTCTAGGAAGATTTCGTGGTAGGCCTACAGGAATGCCGGGACGATCGGTCCCAGGTGTGGTTTCGCCGGGGTGTGGTTTGCGATCGGCACCGTTGGTCCGCCAAAACAAATACAGACATAAACACCGCCCATCAAAGAAGGATTCGCCCCAAAGTTCTACTCAGAACGCACCCCGGGAGAGTCCCGGGGGCTAGCGGTATCGGTACCTTTTGGTTTCCACAGTCCATTGGGCTGTTCGCGGGCTCAGGGGGGGGGGGGGGCGGTGCCTGATTCACCTCAGAGAGCCAGCGGCGTTATACACCGCCACCCTCCCTGAGGGTACATGCGAAGTTCGTCGGAGGGTGTCTGCGTTGTCTTTCGCGGCGCAGTTGGGGCCTGGGGGGCACGCCACAGCCCTCGTCGGGCCGCCTTGGGGCGCGGCGGCGAGATCTGTCGAGGTCCTCGCCCGCCCTCCAGGATGCCCCAAGGACCAGTCGCAAATCACACCCTTTGCAAACCGCACCCTTCAGGAGTGGACAAAACACACAAGCACAGTAAATCGTCGACTCCCAGGAACACACTTGGGAAATACGGGAGGTTTGGGGGGGAAGACGAACACCCAAAGAATACATGAAAACGTTTCTGGGAGTTGTGCTTATCCCTCTGTGTGTCCATGGGCCCCCTTCCAAGGATGCCGGTCGCAAGCCACGCCCGCGGCAAACCACACCCTTCGCGGGGTCGGCGGCCGTGGCCCTCGGCCGGTGCGCAGCGGCTGCGGGGGGCGAGGAGTGCGGCGCGGCGAGGTGCGAGCCCCGCCCTCGCCGATCGACGATGCCGGCAGCTGTCAGGAGAGGAAAAAACACACAGACACAAGTAATCCTCGATTCCCCAGAAAATATGGTGAAAATATGGGAAGTGGGGGGGAAGACAGAAACCCAGAAAATATAGGAAAATATGGCGAATATTTCTATTTGTGTGTATTTATTTGTGTGTCCTGGGGCCCCTTGAAGCTGGATGGGGCGGCGAGGATGGGGCTCGGGACTCTTCGGGCACGTCGCGAAACTCGAACCCCATCCCTCCCCGCCGCCCCATCGAGTCAGGAGAATCGTTGGTGGGCGGGGGTGGGGTTCGAGTGCCGCCACCCATAGATTGGGGGGGGGGCGAAGGCAGGAGGAGCTGTTGGTTCCCAGGGGAGCCCTGAAGGGGGCCCCTTGGGTCCAAGAGTGGCATGAAAGGTGCACGTCGTTCCTCCCCCGCAATCATTTCCCCCCAGGATGGAATGCTCGAGTGGCTGGCGCTCAGGGGCAGTTCGGCTACGCGAAAGAGTGACCTTTCACTGGAGCGACCCTTGTAAGTCACGGGAGCCTTGCATGTCCTTGTAAGTCCGTCTGTAGGGTTCACTATCGTGCGCTAGCGTCTGGCAGTCGATATGAAGGCGCCGGTTTAGCGTCGATTTAGCGTCGACTAGCATCGATCGGTGTCGGCCAGCGTCGATTCGCAAGAGCCAGCAAGCTGGCACGGGAGGCTCCCATGAGTCGCCACCGAGCCTCTGGAGCGGACGCACAGGGGTCCCAGCAGCACTGGCTTGCGCACCTGGACTGCTGGGAGTTGGCCTCCCCCGCAGCCCCCCGCGGCCGCGCACCAGGAGGACACTCCTGCGCGGGGCAACTCCTTGCGTGCAGCCGAGGCGTTGCGGGCAGGACCTGCGGCTCGGCGCCGACAGATCGGCCCGCGAGAGCGAAACCGCACGTCCCCGAGCGGGATGGGCAATCGGGTCCCTACCGGCGATGAGTGGGCGATCGGGGCTCGAAGCGCTCCCTCCTGGGCCACTCGGGCCTGCGGCGGCCGTCCGGGACGATCCGGGCACACCGGAAACACTCTCGGCGAGGCGCAGCCACTGGAGCGCATCCTGAGGCTGGGCAGCCGCCGAGAACCGGCGAAGACGCCAAGAAAACCTCGAACCTCGAGCCTCGAAATTTCTGCCCGCCTGGAGCCCGTCCCCCTGCGGAGCGCTGGTGTCTCCGAGTCCAGGTCGATGCTGCCCCCCGAGCCGGTCCACCCTATCGTCACCCCTCGCGTGTTTCCAGCTCCAGGCGCACGCGGCTACAACCTGCAGTCCCAGGCGTCCGGCGATGTGATCTGTTCCTGGAGCGCGGCCCTAGAGGTCCCGACCCCTTCCATCGGTGGGCCAGCTTTTCGCTCCGAGCCGAAGCTTGATGCCCCCCCCGGCCGGCCGCAGACCTCCCCCGGAGGCCGACACTGGGGAGCAGCGCCTGGACCGAGGAAGCCACCGCCGCCTCGGGCGTGGCGAGAAGTGCGAGGGCGAAGAAAGGTGCAACTCTTGTGCCCGAGAGGAGCCCCAGAGAGGCGCCCATCGGGGCCCAAGAGCGGCACGAGAGGTGCATGCTTCTCTCCCCCGCTCAACGCCCCCCACCACTAGGCAGCAACCTGGTCGTCGGACGGGGGCCATGACCACTGCGGCGGCCAGTAGCCTCCTCCTCGGCTGCTGGTTGCCCTGCCTGGCCGTTTCACAGCTGATTCCAACCCGTAGTGGCCTCGCGGCGGCTCCAGGGTGGTATCGTCTTAACCCCATCCTCCGTTTCTCGGCCTCCAGCCGAGGGCGTCGAGGGCATACATGGGCACCTATCCGCAACAGCGCTCGGTTGTTGGAGCTCTGGGGCAGTTGCGCGTCGCGCGGAGCCAGTGGGCGTCGAGGGCAGGGCGGCCCGCCGCCCGGCAGCCTGTTGCGGCGCGCGCCCCAGGCAGCCGCCGCCGCCGCTGCCGACAACGACGACGATGACGGCGACGACGACGACGAAGACCACGACCACGACCACGACGACAACCACGACGACGACCACGACTACGACCACGACGACGACGACGACGACGAGATCTGGGGCACCCCCGCTCCTTCGCGTCTGCGGGCTCTGCTGTAGACCCGCCGCCGCCGCCTCCGCGCCCCCTCCGCGCCCGCGAGGACTACGGTGGCCTCCTCGGCGGCGACCCGTCGTTTGCTGGGCGCATGCTGCTGCACGCGACCAGCGTGGAGCTGACGCTGCGGGGCGACAGCCTCCTCCGGGAGGAGGAGGAGGAGGAGGAGGAGGAGGAGGAGGAGGAGGAGGAGGAGGAGGAGGAGGAGGAGGAGGAGGAGGAGGAGGAGGAGGAGGAGGAGGAGGAGGAGCGAGGAGGAGGAGCGAGGGAGGAGGAGGAGGAGGAGGAGGAGGAGGAGGAGGAGGAGGAGGAGGAGGAGGAGGAGGAGGAGGAGCGAGGAGCGAGGAGCGAGGAGCGAGGAGCGAGGAGGAGGAGCGAGGAGGAGAAGGAGGAGAGGAGACGGAGGAGGAGGAGCGGGAGGCGACGAAGAGAAGGTTGGACGAGAAACAATGTATCTACGGAGGGGGTGGGAGAGAGGAGGAGAAGGGAGGAGGGAGGAGGGAGGAGGGAGAAGGGTGTAACGGAAGAGGAGGTGGGGCTCGGGCCGCTCGCGGAACGTACCCATTCCAGACACGGGGATAGGGGCTAGGGGGTCAGGTAAATTCACCCCGGAGGGAAAGAGGAGATTGGAAGAACTATCTGGCTAAACCACCTGCTCTCAAAGGGCCGATTTCATGGCGCCAACATCGCAGAGAGGCTTTCGTTCGGAAAACTATAGGGTGGGCCCGGGGTGTCCGAACGAATTTCGTTCTGGATTTCGAGGTGAAATTCGTGCGGATTGTTTTGGCCAGGAATCAGGACCAAAAATAATCCACGCGAAATCCACTTCGTGTTTCGCTCGCCGCTTCGGGCAAAATTGCACGCAGGAATCCATGCAGGAATCCGCTGCAGCACGTCCGCAAGGCTGGTGCAATGATTGATTGGAGTAGTCTCGAACGGTATGGACGCGAACATGCTTGTCATAGCTTCCGCACCTGCAGGCATGCAGAATGGCGCTCGACGGTGCAGCTCGTGCAATTGATGAGGATCCGCCTGTTCCGCGTAGTGCCCCCTTCTGCTTCTGCTTGTCGGTGCACGAGTGGGTAGGCCTCCTCCATGTCACGAGTCTTCCCTTCACTGACGCTCTCGAAGCTCCATACCCGTCACCTGGTCGTTACAGCGAGATCGGCACCCGTGCCACCGTTGGCTCGAGCCCGGCGGGCCGCGCACGTGGCGGGCGCGACGCGCTTCCCAGTTGGGGGCGGAGCAGACGGGGGCGGAGGCTCGTGCCGCATCGCCGATGCGTCGGCGATGCATCAGAGGTGCGGCTCGATTTTCTCCACGCCGACGTCGCCGATGCATCGCCGATGTATCTCGAAGCAGAAACAACGCCATGAACATGAACTGTTGGCGCTCCGCGCGGATTTCTAGGATCCGCAGTGGACCCCCCCGGCGGCGCCTCCAGCGCCGCCCCTGGCGCGCGCTCCGCGCGCCAGGGAGGGGAGTCCGGCGCAAATCCGAACCACCCGCGCGGAGCGCCAAAAGTTTCTGCTTGTGGCCTCCCTTCCTGAGTCTAGTATCGGCAAGGAGGCGAGCTCCTCCGACCCCCTCTGCTCGGACCCCGTCTGGGGGGCCTCTGCTGCTGCTGCACAGGGCCAGCTGGCGCTCCGGCCCCCGCCCCGCGATGGCCGTCTGCAGGGTGCAGTCCGTGAGGCTCCTCCGGGACGGCCCGAGGCCCGTCGACGAGGGGCTCGCCTTCGAGATCCGGCTGGACGTTGCGGAGCCCCTGAAGGAAGATATCGTGTGCCGGTGCATGTACATCCAGTCGGAGGTGGATAGGCCTCCCATACCCTGATGCGTCGATCAGCGGACTGGCCGTTCTCGGTTCGCGGGAGGGCGTCGCGGCCGTGCCTTGCGCGGGTCCGGGTCCGTCGGTTTCGGTCCCAGGCCGTCTTCCTTAAAGGGTGGTTTACGAAAGGGGGGTTTGTCCACCGCCGATCTAGGAGGCCACATGCGAACCCTACGGTAGGTTCGCGTCGTTCCGACCGCCGCCGACCCTGCCGCTGGCGCGTTCCATGTTGAACGCCGCTGGCGACCCAGAACCCGTCGATGTCGAACGGGCTGATGTTGCGGAAACGCCCGATCGTTCAAGGTTGAACGAGTCCCGCGGTTGCAGAAACCAACGCCAGGGTCGACACAACACGAACCTGCTGTACCCCACCACCACCCTTGGAATCGTGGGGTGGTGGGGTAGGGTTCGCATGTGGCCTCCTAACATCACTGACCCTGAAGACAACAAAAAGGACCACGAGCTTCGAAGAAGGAAAAACGCCATATCCATGAACTGTTGGCGCTCCGCGCAGATTTTTTGGATCCGCGCTGGGGCCCCCTGGCGGCGCCTCCGGCACCGCCCCTGGCGCGCTCCGCGCGCCAGGGAGGGGAGTCCAGCGCAGATCCAAGAAATGTGCGCGGAGCGCCAAGAGTTCAAGCTTATGGCGTTGTTTCTTATTCTAGAGCTGGAGTCCATCGATGTCGGCGCTGGCCCAGGCCTTCAGAGGGGAGTGATGTCGTTCATCCTCGAGGCCCCCGCGCCGACGAGGTCATTGATCAACATGAGTGGGGGGCCACTCGATGTTGCGGGGATGTACCTCTCCGTGGTCTACAAGGGCTCCGAGTTCTGCAGGGTGGGCTATCCCGCTGCGCTGCGTCGCGCTCGCCGCCCTGTGAGGGTCTCGGGCGAGCCCCGGCGGGCCCCGCCAGCTGCCTCGGCCCCCGACGTCGGGATCTGTTCACAACGCCGACCCTCAGAGTGTTCAGTCGGGCGTGCCCCTCTGCAGGAGGAATCCTCGGAAAGTAGTCAAACGTGGTCTGGGGGACGACGGTTGTATCATTATTTTTGCTAGACCATTTTGGGGCATTGTTCAACTTTGTGGGTTCCTCCACAATCCGCCTGTAGGCGGACATGCCCGACCTAACCTCAGAGGTCTCGACCCATTCCCCTGGACGGGTTTCTCATCCTGAGGCGTTGTTTGACGGTCCTGAGGCCTGGTAAGGGCCTCCAGATGCCGAAAATAGCTACACACCTCCCGTTATGATTTTTTCCAGACCCGATCGGGTCTGGGTACGTGGCAAAGCATGTGCTTGCACGTTGTGCTATTTTTAGTCGCGACGCGGATGGGGGCCTTCCCTTTGGCCGCGGGCGACGAGCCGACGGATAAGACCTGGCAGCGCCCGGGCCTAGTCCTGAACTTACCTTCAGGCAGGGCAGAAGGAGCCGAACGAACTTGACCGACCACTGCCAATTAGCCGAACACTTCAAACGTACGATAGGTTCGCGTCGTGTCGACCAGTGGCGACCCTGCCGCCGGCGTTCAACGTTGAACGCCGCCGGTGACCCTGAGTCGCTCGATGTTGAACGATCGGGCGTTGCGGAAATGGCCGATCGTTCAAGGTTGAACAATCCCTGCGGTGTCAGGCACCAACGCCGGAGTCGGCACGACACGGACGTGTCGTAACATGTGAAAGTGTAATTCAGTGAATCCAGGGCGTAGTCACATAGATATCTAATGACCTTCGGCCCATCCCACCGCCGTGCCTCGGTTGTGGGTCAGAATCTCCTGGAACCACTCTCGGGGGCCTCTTGGCGGCAGTTCTGAGGCTTCTTGGGAGCCTCTGGGTTGCCTGTGAAGGGCCTCCTGGGGACCTCTTGGGGCTTCCTGGGGGCCTCTTTGGGGCCTCTTTGGGGCCTCCTGGGGGCTCATGGCGGCCTCTTGGGGGCCTTTCGGGGCCTCCTGGCGGCCTCCTGGTCCTCCGTCGGGGCCCGCTTTTGGAGCCGTCTTGGGGTCGGCTTGGGCCGTCTTGAGCGACTCTTGGGCCGCTTTGGGGGCCATCTGCGGCAGTTTTGGACCCTGTCGGAGGCTTCCTTGGCCTTCTTGGGGCCATCTTGGGGGCTTCCTGGGCCGTCTTGGAGCGTTGGGAAGCCGAAACGGCGAGAACGCCAAGATCTGTCCACAATCGGCGGAAAACCAATGCTTGTGGTTCCTTTGGGAGGCCTCTCGGGGTGCTTTGGGGGCCTCTTCGGCCGTCTGGCGGCCGCCTCTTGGGCGTCTTGACCGATCGTCCGACGACTCGGGTCCCTCGGATCCGTCCGACGGCTCGGGCCCCGCTCCACTTCCCCCTCCTCCTCCTCCTCCTCCTCCTCCTCCTCCGCCTCCTCCTCCTCCTCCTCCTCCTGACCGATCGTCCGACGACTCGACGCCGACCTTCGGTCAACTCCCTCATTCCGTCCTCCCCGGCCCGAGGAGCCCGCTGAGGGCAAGCCTGGACCTGCCTCTGGGGGGCCGTCCGTGTGCGCCCGCCGGCCGCGCCGACAAAGTCGACCACGACGTCGACGTCAGTGCCGAGGACGACGCCGAAGACGCCGACGACGACGACGACGACGACGATCACGACGAAGGCGCCGACGACGACGACGAAGGCGCCGACGGCGCCGCCAGCTTCGAGAACGACGCCGACGATGCCGACGACGCCGCCGTCGACGGCGTCAGCGCCGAGGACGCCGACAGCGGCGCCGACGAAGCAGGGCTCCGACCTGCCCGGGTCCGACGAGCGCCCGCCGCTCCCTGTAGGGCAACGAGCTCTACACACATCCACTGCAACGGGCCTGGCTTGAGGGTTTTTCCGAAGGGCTTAGGCGACCCGTCCTCCTCCTCCTCCTCCTCCTCCTCCTCCTCCTCCTCCTCCTCCTCCTCCTCCTCCTCGTCCTCGTCCTCCTCCTCCTTCTCTTCCCTCCCCTCCTCCTCCTCCTCCTCCTCTCCTCCTCCTTCTCCTCCTCCTCCTCCTCCTCCTCCTCCTCCTCCTCCTCCTCGTGTCGCCTACGGCTCCGGGGGAAACCGTGCAGGCCTGGCCCCTTTGGGGCCGTGGCCGCGGCTGTGTGCCCAGCCTTGCCTCCCTGCCGCGAGCGGCGAGGGGCCGGCGGACTACGTGCGCCACGAGTACGACGACGAGGACCTGCGGCAGAGCCCGCCGGAGGAGCCGGACTGGCCCCGGCTGCAGCGGGTGCTGCAGCCGCTGGAGCCCCCGGCGACCAGCTTCCCCAATCCGAGGGGCCCAGACCCCCTCGGGCAATGAAACAAACAGGACGGGATGCTTT